TGCTTGCCTGACCATTTAATGAGACGACGGATGGTGTCCTGGGGTATTTCCTCCCAGATCTGGACCAGGGCATCACTGAGCTCCTGGACAATCTGAGGTGCAACCTGGCGGCGTTGGATGGACCGAAACATGATAACCCAGAGGTGTTTTCTATTGGATTTAAGTCAGGAGAGTGTGAGGGCCATTCAGTGGTATCAATTCCTTCATCCTCCAGGAACTGCCTGCATACTCTCGCCACATGAGTCCGGGCATTGTCGTGCCCCAGGAGGAACCCAGGACCCACTGCACCAGTGTAGGGTCTGACAATTGGTCCAAGGATTTCATCCCGATACCTAATGGCAGTCAGGGCGCCATTGTCTAGCCTGTAGAGGTCTGTGCGTCCCTCCATGGATATGCCTCCCCAGACCTTCACTGACCACCACCAAAACGGTCATGCTGAACGATGTTACAGGCGACTTAACGTTCTCCACGGCTTCTCCAGACCCTTTCACGTCTGTCACGTGCTCAGGGTGAACCTGATCTCATCTGTGAAAAGGGCACCAGTGGCATATCTTCCAATTCTGGTGTTCAATGGCAAATGCCAATCGAGCTCTATGGTGCTGGGCTGTGAGCACAGGGCCCTCAAGAGGACATTGGGCCCTCAGGCCACCCTCATGAAGTCTGTTTCTGATTGTTTGGCCAGAGACATTCACACCAGTGGCCTGCTGGAGGTCATTTTGTAGGGCTCTGGCAGTGCTCATCCTGTTCCTCCTTGCACAAAGGAGCAGATACCTGTCCTGCTGATGGGTTAAGGACCTTCTATGGCCCTGTCCAGCTCTCCTAGAGTAACTTCCTGTCTCCTGGAATCTCCTCCATGCTCTTGAGACTGTGCTGGGAGACACAGCAAAGCTTCTGGCAATGTTACGTATTGATGTGCCTGTGCAGCCTCTGTAGGGTCCAGGTATCTCCTCATACTACCAGTAGTGACACTGACCTAGCCAAATGCAAAACTAGTGAAAAACAGTCAGAAAAGATGAGCTGGAAAACAATGTCAGTGGCCTCCACCTGTAAAACCATTCCTGTGTTGGGGGTTGTCTCATTGTTGCCCATCTAGTGCACCTGTTGTTAATTTCATTAACACCAAAGCAGCTGAAACTGATTAACAACCCCTCTGCTACTTAACTGACCAGATCAATATCCCAGGAGTGTAATTGACTTGATGCTAGACTCTGATTAAAAAGCGATCCTTTACATTTTTACTTGAGGTGTGTTTGTATATGTATGTGTGTGTGTGTGTGTGTGTGTGTGTGTGTGTGTGTGTGTGTATATATATATATATATATATATATATGTATGTGCATGTATATATATGTGTGTGTGTGTGTGTGTGTATATATGTATATGTATGTGCATGTATATATATGTGTGTGTATATATATATATATATATACTTTTTTTTTAAATATATATTTAAAAAAATATATATACACACATACACACAAAAGTGGATGATCACAGAATGCATTCCGGAGGGAAGAGAAGTCGCTGGAATGTGCAGTCTGTTCTTTTATTTAGGTCATCTTTGCAGTGACACACCTTCTACTGTTCTAGTGCAACAGGAGACACTTCAGAGCCAAGCAAAGATCAAAGTCACTCTAGACACCGAATTCTATGCAATGAGCATAAAGCTTCACTCAGCCGGAAGCCCAGCTTATATCGCCCTGCGAAAAAGTGACAGAAGTCAGGAGCTGGGCCACTGAGAAACCTACTTTGCTTCTACCGGTCGGTCCCACCAGGGGCCACTCCGTTATCCTCTTGCACACAGACCTAATCATTTACTAATGTGTACATGCAGGGTCTGCTGTCAGAAGCTGGCTGAATGATCCTGAGTTAAATCCACACGTTCTGCTCTGTGAAGACCTTGTACATAAACTTGTATAGGTGCATTATTGTGTGCGTACTTTTTTTTTTTTTTTTTTTTTTCTTTCTTCACCCTTTCCCAGCTACCAGGGTTTCAGTTTCCATGCATACACTCAGACTTGCTTGCTCATATGTATAAATTACTGTCTCAAATGCGAACACCCTTTTGGTCTGGGGAAAAAACAACAAGAGAGCGCATTCTAATATTGACAAATCCGTAGGATCTTTTTACACCACATCGTGTGCAGATAAACGCACCAGCATTACACTTTACCATGCGCCTTGCTTCTCACTTCTTGGAAGATGCAGAATCTACACCTCGGCAGAGGAGCCAGACTTGCGGTGGCCTGCTGTTTTGCGTGTGCTTTGATGCATGTTGTGCTGCACTACCACACATTAAACTTGTGTTCTCATTGTGATAAGATAAGGTAGGACTTGTTCTCCTTTTTTTCTTTTTTTTTTTTCCCAGTGCATATCCGTGCAACACATGAGTGTGAACTGACCTCATTTACATACTAGTTTTCACTGGTCCTCTCTTTGGCATGCGTTGAAGAAAATGTGCCAACGCACCTGGTATGAATGGATCATAGGAGTTCATTCACACCAGGTCCATTGAGCTGCATGGATACATTCAAGCTCAATACAAGGACACAGAGAGAACAGTTGTCTTCTATGTGCCCTGCTTACACCATACACGCCTGTTGCATATCTGCATTTTTATCGAATGTACAGAAATTTGTTACAGCGCATGGCACAGCATCGCCATGTATTGTTGTGCATACAGTTGAATGAAATGTTTAATATCATTGTAAATGCTTGTCTTGCACATACCCATTGAAGTGACTGGTGTCAGGTGATGCACAGAGATGAAACAAATCCTCCTTCATAAGTCGTACCTGTTCATCTGCAGATTCTCTACTCTGCATCCATTCAAAGTCCAGAATTTATAACGCTTGTCTAAGAGATCAGAAAAAAGGGTGCAGAGAGCTGAAGTTACACTGCAGACCTCCGTGTGGACAGCTCTGAAAGCTGATTGGAGGGAAGAGACCCCCCCCCCCCCCTCCACACAGCACACAGAAACAGAGCTGAGGCTCTCAATTTGCTGGAGGTCCCTCCCCTGTCACCATTTTTCTGGTTACAGCTTGTAGGAGGAATTTTCATTTTGCTCTAGGAGAATGCAGAACCCCTGACCTCTGTCTGGACAGTGCTGATTGGCCCTGTGCTGATTACATGCACTCTCCCAAGAAAAAAAACAAACCTCTCTAGCAATACACACCAAATTGAATATGTGCAGAGGGACTCCACACAATGCCTTATCAGGAGATAAGGGGGTCACTGGAAGAAGGGGAAGATCAGAGAAGTTGGGATTAAACAGCATTTTTACACAATGCAGAAGATTAACCCCTTAGGTTCCGCAGTGAGTATAACAAGCATGCTTTAGTGCAGATAGAGACTTATTTTACGGTTGTGGGTTTAGTGCCACTTTAACTTTATTTTTGTTTATCACCTACTATTTTTTTTTTTTTTTTTTTTATAAAACTGTAAAAGTAGCCCATTTTGACATTTCTACTTTGACCTTTTACCTGCTCATATTTTCATCACGATATTTCAAATCCAGATCTGGAGCAGCCCCCTCTAGTGGTAATCTGTGTGTCAGCGTGTGCAGCCAGCATCCTGACAAATGGTGTTATGGTATAATTACAGTGTTTGTTCTCAAAGAAGAAGCATCTCTCTTATCTGGACTCTGTTATCACTTCTATTTACAATAACCATTTCAAGTGTGTCAAGAAAGATGAGTTGTAGTTGTGTTTTATTAATGATTGTATTTCATTTCATCTTTTTTTTTTCTATGGACATGTGCACTGTCACTTGAGGTGTACCTGGACTTCTTATCTCTCAGCCAATTACCCCAATAACCCTTCTAAGTTCTAATCTCTATGTCTGTTTGTTGCCTAACCCTTTACAATAGCTGTTTATAGTGTGTCAAGAAAAAATGGTTGTACTTTTATTATTCTATTTTATTGCTGTTCCTTGTATCTCTGTGTGTGAATATGTGGGTTTTAGAACTGTATAAAGCTCTGGTGCCCAATCTTCAGCCCCGAGGGCCGTATGCTGCCCTTTGGCATATGATGTGTGGCCCTCGAACCTCCGAAGTCTGTAGTCGAGAGCATTGATTAGGGTAATAGCATTGATCTCTACTAGCCTCATATAACAAGTTCCTAGTTTCATATTGTCTTCTGCAGCCTATGCCCAGCCAAAAATGTAGCATGTACTCACTCTCTGACCCTCATCTCTCATTAGACCTGCAGTTTCTGAAAGTCCTCTCAAGCATTTTATATACTGAACATTATGTGCGGCCCTTTTGGTGATGTCAGGGGCCACATTTGAGGCCCCTTATAACTCATTGGTTGACAACCACTGGAATAAAACCTGAAGGCATCCTGATAGCTTGCCTCTTTAATAAATTAAAGCTGAACTCCGGGATAGACCAATATTGTCTAAATACATTCAACATGTTTACTCTTTCTTGAATCTTTGAGTGTATTTCTTCCAGATCTGTGCAGTAATCCATTGCGAGACTTTTCCTGTATTAAAGACCGCTCACTGCTGCTCTCTCTCCTTTTTTACAGTGACTGGTCTTGTCTCCGCCCCCTCCTGTAGTTTTCTGCAAGCAGCCTGTAGTGGGTGGGGTCTGCTGGGTCCCTCCCACAGCTCTGCTCTCTCTCCTTGTACAGGGTGACTGGTCTTGTCTCCGCCCCCTCCTCTAGTTTTCTGCAAGCAGCCTGTAGTGGGTGGGGTCTGCTGGGTCCCTCCCACAGCTCTGCTCTCTCTCCTTGTGCAGGGTGACTGGTCTTGTCTCCACCCCCTCCTGTAGATTTCTGCAGGCAGCCTGAAGTGGGCGGAGTTGCTTGGCCGCTCCCATAGCTCTTCTCTCTTCACAGGCTTTGTACAGCACAGTGATGTTGTTGCTAATTTTACAAAGTTTTATATCTGGGTTTGCAAAGGCATTTGGTGCACAAAAAGCTTTCAGCCAACCAATAAAGTATTACTTGAATGGCAACTTTTGGCATTAATACAATAATTTTCTTTCATCTTTTCAGCTGGAGGGAAGAATAGAAGAACTCAACCGAGAGCTGAAATCAGCGAAGGATAGGATGGTGGCACAGGACAACGTTGCAAAGAACACCATCCAACATCTTCACAAAGAGCTGGCTGTCCGGACAGAGCAGGTAACTGGCAGCCACAGACTGTTATTATAGAGAAATATGAACTTTAGCCTCTTTGCGTCATCCGTACGCATATATGCGGTCCTCTTATAACAACATACCGCGTCGGCGGGAATCGGTAAGCTTCCAATGCATACGTGCGATTGGGAGATTTCTGATCATGTGACTGCTGTGGCAGCCAATCACAGCGGTCACATGACCTGAATGCCAGCCTCCGCCTCCCAGCTTTTAGAACTCTTAAGGCGGAGCAAGAGGGTGTCAAGGGGTAACGCTGACATTGCATGGCTCTTCTGCGATAAATAGCCTGCTTGCTTGCAAGGTTTTGTGAAATGCTTTCAGTTCCATTTTTAAATCTTTAATATGACTAGTGTCATACAGGATATATGATCTTTTCAGGTGGTTTACCTCTCTAGAATCTACCAAACAGTGAAAAAATAGTTTTGGTGGAGGCTGACCCTTTAGGCCCCTTGCAGACTGAGTGGTCCATCTAACGTGGATCCCTCCCCAGTGTTTTAGTGTGCCAGAGAGGGACAGGTGCAGCGACCAGCCCTGCTGCAGGCAGCATGTCAAATTCTGTGGCAGGCTGCATCTGGACTGAGCTGAATGCTGTATTGAGTGGTACTGGTGTTGAGGACCATGTGCGTTTCGGGATGAAGGTCTGAAATGCTTGTCTTTTGCTGGATGCTGCACCTGTCCCTACCATGTACAAGGGGGCCTTAAAGTGTTTGTCAAGGCTTATTTTTTTAAAATTAATAAATGTTATACTCACCAGCTCTGTGCAATAGTATTGCACAGAGCGGCCCCAGACCTCCCCTTCTGGGGTCCTCTGCTGGCGCTCTTGGCTCCTCCTTTTTTTTTTTTGTGTGTGTTCGCATAGCAAGCTGCCGAGCCAGACTGGGTGAATTCATCAACACACACTGCATGGCTCGGCTTGCCCCCTGCTCCCTCCTCACAAGATTTGATTGACTGCAGCAGGAGCCAATGGCTTCCGCTGCTGCCTTTTGTGTCTTGTGAAGAGAGGAACACTGAGTAGCACTGCTGCAGAAGGGCACAGCATTGAATCGAGATAGGACTCAGGTACATATAAGGGGAGGTGAGGAGGTGATAAAAAGTAAATTTTTACCTTTAATGCAGGAAATGTTTTGTCTTTAGAACCATTTTGAAATGTGCACTATATTTATTTAGGTAGCCGCTCATGTCTTCATGACTGAAAGACTCAGTGCTGGTGTCACTGTGAACTACTTCCTGTCTGGCCCATGTATATAAACGGCCGAATGGGAGCAGTGCAGGGGCAGGTGGCCGTTTATAAACGTCCTCCCCTCTCTGTGTTTGTGCGCGCTCCCTGGGAAGCGCGCAGCATCGCGATCTGGTGCCTGCTGTATCTGGAGGACACAGTGGAACACCGATCGTTGTATGGGACCTCTGTGTGAGGTCCCGATCATGTGAGCACTAATTGGCCAATCAGTGATTACATGATGTCACTTCTGACATCATTGCTTACTACGTATGAAATCTGTAAATGATCACAGAGATCACATGGTACAAGGCTATTCACAACAGCCTTTTACCATGTGACAAGCTGTGACCAATCACCGCTCACACAGTTTTTCTCAATGGCTGCAAGAATGCAGCCAGAGAGAATGAGAAATTATTGTTTTTACAGCCTTTACTATGGTGACACTGTACTGCTAGGGTGGCAGTATGTAAAAAAAATCCCATAAATAATAATATTAAAAATTTAATAAAAATGTAAAAAAAATTTAGAAAAATTTATAATTTTTGGTTATAATTTGTTTGTTTTTTGTTTTTTTTTACTAAAAAGATAACTGAATACATTTTGGCCAAGATTTATCAAGAAAAATTATTTTTTTGCAAAATTTTATAAGAAAAACACTTTTTTTCAAAATGTTTGGACTTTTTTTCATTTATATAGCAAAAAAAAAAAAATCCAAGTGGTAAATAAATACCCCCAAAATAAAGTTTTAACTGTCTCAAAAAAAAAGCTAAAAAATTCATATGGGTACAGTGTTGCATAACCACGCAATTGTCATTCGAAGTGTGATAGCGCTGAAAGCTGAAAATTGGCCTGGACAGGAAGGGGGTAAAAGTGTCGACTTGAAGTGGTTAAAGACTAAGTTCACCTTTTTTACAAAAAAATAATAAATGCACATCTCTTTACAATTACAAAAATATGCATTTTTTTTTTTTTTACACTACAACCTGCAGAGCATTTCACCCGCAAACTGCAGATGGTAGGCGCAATTCCAGGCTCCTGCAGACACTTAGTTAGCTGTCTGCCTGTACTTCCCATACAGACAGGCAGTTACTGAACGACAGGAGGAATTTATAAACTATGAGCGCGCTCACCAGCACTTGTAGTTCATTCTTTCACAGAACTTTGTGAATGAATGACGCGGCCATGTGGGTGGAGCCCTTCATGGCTGTTCTGTTTTCAAATTGTGACAGTGGGTGCGGGGAGAAGATTCACTGCCTGCTGTCACAGAGGGGGGAATCGGGAGGAGAGGAGACAGAAGCTGGAACATACAAAAAATTCAAAACTTTTCTCTTTTCTTGAAATTAAAAATTACAATAAAATATAAAAACAAACAAAAAGTGTCCAAAATATCAAAAATAAAACCCCTCAGGTGTAATCAATAGTCCAACGCAGTCTTTATTTCTTCTTCCAACAACAAGTCTCTTTCTTAACACCCGCAAATCCTGATGACAATATACCTCAAAAAACAAAAACTCAACATAGTGTCATACCTTAAAAGTAATAACTACACACGTGCCACTCACTGTGCAACATGCAAAAAAAAACAAACAAACAATATATGTGTGTTTACTCTATGTACGAATATCTACACGCATGCAAATATTCCTTTGTGTACCAAAAAAATATATATACAAGTGAAAACACTCACACAAAGTGTCCTTTACACAATCTGTGAAAATAACTCAAATATATCAATACAAGTGTGTGTCACCGCACTCTGTATTCATCAGTGAACACCTTAAACCCAAAACAACACTCTCCAACTCGTGTACTGATGGATAATTACCCTATATATGAAATGACAGGGCATAACACAAATCTGACTTCTTGTCAATAGGGTTCCATCCAGTATCAGGGTTTTTTCTTCCATTTCCCTCATAAGAAAATCAGCAATTACAAATCGTGAATTCAAAGATATCATCCTTTATTTAGCAACTTACATTAAAATTTGGATGAAGCAGCTCCTCCTCCATAGGGATACACATGTAGACAAGCTAGGGAACAATGGCCACATGTTCCCACTTCCAAGATGGCCGCGATCGCACTTCCAGTCAACGTCGATGCGTCTGACGTCACGTGTACCTGACGCGTTTCGTCACTTCCTGTGACTTTTTCAGAAGTTACATGTTCCACTCTAAATATGGGTGAAACATGTAATGTGTTCCAAAGATTAACTTCTCTTTTAAGAATATTTATGATATACATTATATTCCTTTTTAGTAATTTTTTTTTAATTTCAGGCAAATAAGAAGTGCGAGGAGGCTCGGCAGGAGAAGGAGGCGATGGTCATGAAGTATGTCAGGGGGGAGAAGGAGTCTCTGGATCTGAGGAAAGAGAAGGAAGTTCTGGAGAGGAAACTGAGGGAAGCCAACAAGGAGATTGAGAAACACAACAACAGGATCAAACTGCTAACTCAGGAAAAAGGCCGATTACACCAGCTGCATGAGGCCAAGGTAGACTAGGACTGGGACTCGCAAACACACATTGTCTCTCAATATTGTTACACCATATTGAATCACTCGTCTGTCCTCAGTGCTGGAGGATGTGTCTGCTCAATCCGTTTAGTAGCTCTGCACCAAATTATTTATGAGCTGCCTGTTTACTGCAGACTCATTTCATACATGAGTATCGGATTTACAGCTAAAAATCAATCCATGCCTCCTACCTACCCTACTCATATAACGTTTTACAGATACTTGTCCTGCATAGGCATTGATCATGTTATCTCAGCAGAAGTGACTTGGGGGAAGAATTTAAGATAAGCTGGCTTTTCTGAATCCTGATCCTGGAAAAGGAAAAACGGAATCTTCATACTAGAGAGTTGGGGACCAAAAATATACCATTAGATCTTAAGGCAAATCTAAACCTCCCTACCATCCATCCATCCCTCCATTCCCCTCTAACTCATCCTATACATTTTTTTTTTCTTGCCTTGTGAAGCAAGATTAATTTAAGTCCCGACCCCCCCCCCCCCAGTGCCATTTTAGGTGCAGGGAACTGCTAATCCAGTAAACCAGTGCTGCACATGTCCATGCCAGCCGATGCTGGCATGGACAATACCCTTTTCCACCAATGTCACTGTTGAAGAGGAGACTCCTCTTCTATGTCCTGAAAGAACTCCTTTGTTGGGCAAACAATAGGAAGAATCTATGTCATGCAAGCAATGGAGTGGACCCTGCCTACTGTAAACTAAAGAATAAACTAAAGAATGGGGAAAACTCAGGATGGGAGCATCACGTGACTGCAGCTTTTGGTGAGTAAAAATGGCATTTAGGAGAGTAAAAGGGCTGCTATGCCTACAAACGCATATCTCCGGAACCCTTCCTAAACAACTATACTTTTTTTACATTTTATATCGCAAGCTCTGCCGAAGAGGCACACTTCAATTCCTGAAATATGCTGGCAGCAAATTTTGTTTGAACAGATTAAATGGAATAAATACTTCTTGACTCCATCCCTCTGGTGTGGCACTCCTGTTCTCCCCTCTTCATCCAATTTAATTCAGAAGCAGCCTTGGAAGCTCTTTTCTGCAGAAGAGCTGCCTGCCCAAAATGCTGCACACCTTCCTATCCTTATCACCCTGGAGTGCTAGAATTTCTCCTGGGATCCTGTGACACCTATTCGTTTCTCCAGCTTAACCAAAATCCCATCCTTTAGCTGAGTTTGTCATGCCAAAGGCTGCTGTGTTGTTTTTTGCAGCAAAATTTTATGCAGAACAGGTATTTTAGTTTATTGATTTATTTTTATTTTTTATTTATTTATTGCTAGTATTTTGGGCGAGAGAGCAATGTTGGTTAGTAGTGGCAAGGGCAAAGACTAATCCAGAAAATATCTATGAAAAGGACAGATGAAGGTAAATGTGAAGTGAGAATTACACTTTCTCTCTGTGCCATCCTGTGAGAGATACGGCTCATTTGCAGTAATTTATCACATGCTGCAGATTTCAGAGAGCTGCATCTGTGAAAGGACAGCATGGAGGGAAGTATATTTAATGCATTACACTTGCCCCTTATTGTCCTTTCTTTCGCTATTTCCTGGTGATCCATTTTTAATATACCACAAGTCCTCTTTTTTTTTTTTTTTTTTCTCTAAAGGAAAACTTGTCCTTCAACTTTGATAAATCTTGTCCTTTAAGGCATGTCCCTACTCCCCTGAGTGCAGCTCACCTGGTTCAATACATATCTTTGCTCCTGTTCCATCGATCTTCATTCTGCCGTCCTGCCAGGAGCCCCACAGCCTTTCCAACAAAGGCATGCCTGCTGGGTCGTCTTCACCTTGGGCATTCATCATGGTGCTAATCATTGTTCACGAACGCTTCACTCATTTATTTAGTTCAGGTACTTGTATAGTGCTGTCAATTTACGCAGCGCTTTACATATATATTGTACATTCACATCAGTCCCTAACCCTTCAAGGGGCATACAATGTAAGGTCCCTAACTTAAATATATACATACACATACTAGGACTAATTACCTACCAGCATGTCTTTGGAGTGTAGGAGGAAACCAGAGTACCCGGAGGAAATACACGCAGGCACAGGGAGAACATGCAAACTCCAGGCAGGTAGTGCCGTGGCTGAGATTCAAACTGACAACCCTAGTACTGCCAGGCGAAAGTGCTAACCATTTAGCCACTGTGCTGCGTCACCTCCAGGAATCATGCAGAGTAGGGCCTTTCCCCATAGGAAAAAATAAGTCTATGGTGTGCAGATGCAGACTGAAGAGGCACTTTGGAAAGAGGCTTGCTGCAACGGAAACAGGCAAGTATCAGACAAGGTGGGCTGTACCTGAGATGGGAATGCATGCTCAAATGTACAATTGTTCTTCATAGCATTTTGTACCACATTTAATAACACTGTTCAACAAATTTTTATTTTTTGCCAGTTTTGGAAACAAAAGGATCCATTTCTTAATGAATTTCACATTCTGAGTTCAAATATAACAATGAAATTTGTCAATTGGCTCTAGTTTTTCTGTAAACGGAAAGTTTTCTACTATAGGCGTAATGACTACATAATGCACAATAATTATATAGATAGATGTCTTTCCACAAATATAAAGTAAGTGATATTGACTACATAACAAAGCCTAAATGGCATAATATATTGCATAGGATTACCAAGAAAAATTATAGCCATAAGCTAAGTTGAATCATTTTAATACTTAGGATTCTCACTAGTTTTGTCTTCAGTTTGTGTCGGTTTTGCTTCTCTTGGCTTTTCTCTTGTATTCGAGGAAAGGGCTATCTCTTACAACTGCACGTGACTACACGCTTCAGGTTCTTCCTCACTTGACTCAACCACGAAGGATTCTGGTGCTTTAGGAATTGGTAGCCCCTCTCCATGAGGAACTGGCCGATGGAATATTTGGATAGTGCACAGATAACTTTTTCTTCTTATTTAGCCCTTTTACAATTAGAGGCACCATACAAAAGTAACAATTACTAACATGATCTGTTGGCTCTCTCCAAATCATTGGCACAGCGAAAGGCATAGATGCCTTTTTTCCATTCAACCATTGCTCCAGTGCCGTCCCACAAGAATTGCAGCATATATGTGGTGCCCAGCTCTTGTCCTGGTCTCCTATCTTGCAGCCAAAATACAAGTTGTAGGCTTTCTTAATCATTCCTGTTATCCTCCTTTTTTGTGAGATAAAAGTTATTTCACCGCAGATATAGCAGAAATTATCTGCTTTATTCACACAAGTTCGAGGCATTACTGAGTAGCCTATATAAGCATAAAACGAAATGTAAAGACGCTGTCGAACTACAATCAGCTACAGATACTGCAGCTTTTATGCAGTGAAGTGATGCAATTAAAGGCTAATATTGCATCATCTCAGTATACATGCAATTTTCTATTGGTCACCAGTATCAATTGCGCAATATGCAGCTGAAGTTGCATCATAATTTTGAATGGCTTACGTCATTAGATGGGTGAATATATCATGGAAACTAGAGCCAATCAACATTTTTTAGGGTCATTTTCGTTTTCAGCACCCCAAAATTATGTAAGATTAGCTAATTTTATGCCCAAAACTTTTTACCTGTTGAACAGTGTAATCTACAGAATGTTTCCCCTTTTTTTTTTTTTTTTTTTTTGTTTTTGTTTTTGTTTTTGTTTTGAATGTGTTTTTTTTTTTCTAGGGTTGAATTAGGTGGATATTGGACTTTTTCAATGTTCTCGTATTACTTTGTGTAATTGACCAGCAGTTCTGGATGTGCACGGTCTTGGAATGAGGAGTAATCCTCCTATTTATGGGATGTGGGATAGAATGAGAATGCCTTCCGTTCTAAGAGGGCTTTACTGTGCTTCACACTGATTCAGTTGGGAGACTTTTTGATTCCCTTAGTCTCTTCTGACCTTAACCTGTATGGTTATGCTGTGTCATGTGTCTAAAGCACTACTCCTTACATGCCATGGTTTCCATACACTGCACTGATGATCACCAACTAGCCTGAACTAGCTGTATGTAGTTTGGGATAAATAACTTTTTTAAACTATGCTATTATGGACCCATACACCAGCGGTTCTGGATGTGCACCTGGCTGATGGGAGGGGGTAAAGGAATAATTTGCATGTAACCTGTATGGTTATACTGTTCTGTATGTGTAAAGAATGAACGGTGAACTGGTGAAAGTTTGTAGGAAAGCGGCTGTCTCAAAGTAACATGAAATACAGATTAATATGGCTTTTCTCCAGGGGAATGCACACTATTATTATTATACAGGCTTTATATAGCGCCAACAGTTTGCGCAGCGCTTTACAAAATGAAGGCAGACATTACATTTACAATACAATTTGGTACAAGAGGAAACAGAGGGCCCGGCTCATTAGAGCTTACAATCTAGGAGGAAGGGTTGAGTGATACAAAAGGTAATAGCTGTGGGGGAGATGAGCTGATGGAGGAAATAAATGGCGGTTTACTAGGTTGAAGCAGGATAGGCTTCATTAAAGAGAAAGGTTTTCAGGGATCGTCTAAAGGTGGATAGATTAGTAGACAGCTGGATAGATTGGAGTAGGGAGTTCCATAGGATGGGAGAAGCTCGGGAGAAGTCCTGGAGGCGAGCATGGGCAGAGGTGATACGGTAAATAGAGAGCAGAAGGTCTTGGGAGGATGGAAGAGAGTGGTTTGGTTGGTATTTTGGGACCAGGTTGGTGATGTAGCTGGGGGCAGAGTTGTGGATGGCTTTATAAGTTGTTGTTAGTATTTTGAATTTTAGTTGGGCGAGTGGAAGCCAGTGAAGGGATTGGCAGAGAGGAGTGGAAGACACTGATTGGAAGCCAGTGGAGGGATTGGCAGAGAGGGGTGGAGGACACTGATTGGAAGCCAGTGGAGGGATTGGCAGAGAGGGGTAGCAGACACTGAACGGTTGGTAAGGTGGATGAGCCTGGCATCAGTATTTGTGATGGAATGGAGGGGGCGGGGATAGCCTATGTTAAGGTAAGCCACTTACTTGGCTGGTAAGCATTTCAGCACTGTAATGGCAAGGGGTGCAGGGGTGTGCTGAAAGGTTTATCAAGGCTTACTGCTAGGTGATCTATTGTCACTGGGGAGGATCTATTGTTGCTGGGAGGCATTTCCCCTCATCCTCTGGAACTCTCTACCCCAATCCATCAGACTGTCACCTACCCTCCTCACCTTCAGGTGCACCCTGAAAACCCTCCTCTTCAGGGAAGCCTACCCCACCCTCACCTAACAGCCGATCTCCTCCACTCTTCCTACCACTCCATCCCCCACAGCCACTTCCTCCTGTAGCACTATCCCCTCCCTCCTAGATTGTAAACCCAAGAGAGCAGGGCCCTTGAACCCCTCGTATATTGTTTTGTTACTGTATTGTCTCATGTACTGTCCCCCTTTGTAATGTACAGCGCTGAGCAAACCTTTTGGCGCTATATAAATACTGTATAATAATAATCTACTGATGAGGGAAGGGTTTTATTGTTGCCACCTGCTGTAGTTTCTATTGATGCTGGCTCCTGGGAGGTCTATTGTTCTTGGAGGGGGTCCATTGTTGCTGGTGTGGATCTATTGTTGCTGAAGGGGTTGTTTTGTTGCTGGGGGAATCTATTATTGCTGGAGGGGTGTATTATTCCCTGCAGCCAGCAATCTTTTTTACTGCTTATCTTGTTGTTGTTCACAAATTTCATACAAATTATTTAAACACCACAAAATGATACTTGGTTCTGTATTCTCTAAAATGGGTGGTACTGGGAGGTGGGTAGGGGGTGGGACCAAGGGGCAGTGCTGGTGGGTAAGGGGGCGAGACCAGGGGTGAATTGGAAAGGGAGGGTATCTGCACCTATTCTGAGGCAAAAAGCACTGTGTAAACCAGCCAATCGGAATGTCCCTTTCATTCTTCTTTCCTCTCTGTTCTTTCCCCGGCTACTAAGGGGTGAAATTGCATTGTGCAGGTAGAGAACGTTAATGAACAATCACTCTGCAGTGTAACAAATAGGAAGAACTCTCCCTGTTCATAAACTGTGTATAAAGAACCAAACTTTTAGTTTCTGACTTCTTGATTTTGAGAGGCTTTATTCAGACCATATTAATATTAGGCAATCAAATTTGTATTCAAATGAGAACATTAAAAATACTAATTATTCCCCTTAGTGTAAGTATTATGGGCTGAGTAGGAGGATCTCCTGTCCTTTTCTGCCATCAATTAGTCTCTGATTCTTTGATTTTTGTAAATTAGAACTAATTATATAAGACCCGTCCATTCTAAATCCACAGCTTATTTAAGCTACTTTACCTGGAAGTTAAATCGCTTTCAGATGGGGGGACCAAATGCTTTGATTTAACTGTATTTAACATATGTATAAAGAATTTCTGTATAACCTCTTTTCTTTTAATCTAGGAAAATGAAACCAGCAGACAGAGCCGTGAAATCGAGAAGCTTAAAGAAGAGGTGAATTCATATGCCATCAAAGTGAAGTGGGCTCATAACAAACTTAAAACGGAGCTGGATGGTCACAAGGTTAGTGGAGGAGTCTGGAAGGACGGTGATGTGTGGCATTTATATCCTGTATAGAATCCAGAGAGCTCTTCTATCTGGGTCAGAGAAGGAGTCTGTAGCTGGCTATAGAGGATTAGAAAATCAAAAACAGAAATGACTGTTCAATAGCTCATTCGATTCACCCATCACTGTATCCAAAATTTTCACCGATCTACATAATTTTTTGTTTTCAGCATTAAAGTATTGTTTTTCGTTCGGCCTTTTCAGCTGGCATAGCAATTGACATAGACTGATAAATACATAGGTATAAACACAGGTATGACGTACAGCTCTAAAGTAAAGTGAAAATAATGGATGTTAACCATTTCACAACCGTGCTATAGCTTAAAGCATCATGTGATGCCCCCAGCGCGCTGCCCGTGATTGCTGTGTCCTATGGACACAGCTGATCACATGATGAGGCCAATCAGAGTAGCCTTTTACCACATGATCAGCTGTGTCCAATGACACAGCAGATCACCAAATACAGTTGCTGTTTATCGGCAGCACTTTCCTCACGCTGTGCCTTTTGTAAATCAGTTGATCTTTCTGTGCAAAAAAGGTCCACTTCAGTGTCCTTGAATGAATGTCTAGACCAGCAATGGGCAAACTACGGCCCGGCAGACCTTTTAATCCGGCCCGCGGAGCGTGGCAAACATTGCCTGTCAGGATGTGTGTAGGCGGGGCAGCGTGAGGAGCGGGGCAGCAGGGGAGCTAGGCTCCTCTCACAGTCCGCCCTGAAGACCGGAATGGCGCAGGAACACGGCGAGAGGAACGCGCGGAGCAAAGGTAAGTGAATTGACACTATATGGGGAATGAATTACTATAGGGGGGATGAATTACTATATGGGGGATGAATTACTATATGGGGGATGAATTACTATGGGGGAATGAATTACTATAGGGGGAATGAATTACTATATGGGGGATGAATTACTATATGGGGGATGAATTACTCTGGGGGATGAATTACTCTGGGGGATGAATTACTATGGGGGATGAATTACTATATGGGGGATGAATTACTATATGGGGGATGAATTACTATATGGGGGATGAATTACTATGGGGGAATATTACTATACTTACTATGGATGACACATACACATCATTCATCTACTCTTGGTCCGGCCCCCGGGTCCAATATATGAACCCATTGCGGCCCTCAAGTCAAAAAGTTTGCCCACCCCTGGTCTAGACACTAAGGATGGGATTATGTAAGAACAGGGTGCAGCTATTGCATTTTATGCTGTTCTTGGACAATCTTGACATATTCCATGTTGATTGTAGTAAGAGTGTCTGTGCTACTTGTGTGGATATTATTACAGGTACTTTATATAGCGCTGTCAATTTACACAGCGCTTTACATATACAGCGGGTAAAATAAGTATTGAACATGTCACCATTTTTCTCAGTAAATATATTTCTAAAGGTGCCATTGGCATGAAATTTCCACCACATGTCGGTAACAACCCATGCAATCCATACATACAAAGAAACCAAAACAAATAAGTTCAGAAATTAGGTTACGTGTAATAAAATTAAATGACACAGGAAAAAAGTATTGAACACACAAACTGAAATGTATATAATACTTTGTACAAAATTCTTTGTTGGTAATGAAAGCTTCAAGACGCCTCCTGTATAGAGAAACTAGTCGCATCCATTTCTCAGGTGTGATTTTTGGCCTATATTTCCACACAGTCTTCAAATCTTGAAGGTTCCGTGGGGCTCTCCTATGAACTGTGATCTTTATTTCTTACCATAGATTTTCTATTGGCTTCAAGTCAGGTTATTGGCTGGGCCATTCTAGAAGATTTATTTTCTTTCTTTGAAACCAATTAAGAGTTTCCTTGGCTTTGTGTTTGGGATCATTGTCTTGCAGAAATGTCCGCCCTCGTTTCATCTTCATCATCCTGGTAGATGGCAGCAGATTTTTATCAAGAATGTCTTAGTACAGTTTTCCATTCATCCTTCCTTCTTTGACATGAAGTTTGCCAGTACTGTATGCTGAAAAACAGCCCCACACCATGATGTTCCCACCACCAAACTTCACTGTTGGTATGGAGGTTTTGGGGGTGATGTGTAGTGCCATTTGACCTCCAAATATGTGTATTATGACATTCAAAGAGTTCAATTTTGGTCTCATCTGACCAGACTGTATTCTCCCAGTATTTCACAAGCTTGTCTAAAAATTTAAATTAGCTTCAGCATGCTTTTTCTTCAGCAATGGAGTCTTGCGTGGTGAGCGTGTGTACAGGCCATGGCGGTTGAGTGCATTGCTTACTGTTTTCTTTGAAACAATTGTACCTGCTAATTCCAGGTCTTTCTAAAGCTCTCCATAAGTGGTCTTTGGCTCTTGGACAACTCTTCTAATAATTCTTTTCACTCCTCTGTCAGAAATGTTGCGAGGAGCACCTGGCCATGGCCAGTTTATGGTGAGATAATGTTCTTTCCACTTGCAGATTATGACCCCAACACTGCTCACTGGAACATTCAGGAGTTTAGAAATCCTCCTATAAGAAATGCCATCAGTATGTTTTGCAACAATAAGGTTGCGAAGGTCTTGAGAGAGCTCTTTGACTTTACCCATCATGAGATGTTTCCTATGTGACACCTTGGTAATGAGACACCTTTTTATAGGCCATCAGTTGAGACTGAACCAGCTGATAATAATTTGCACTGTCGGGGCAGGATTTCTTTCTAATTACTGATAGATTTCAGGCGGTTTCTTGGCTTGGCCTTTTAACACCTTCCTTTTCTTTGTGTTCAATATTTTTTTCCCTGTGTCATTCCATTTTATTACACATAGCTTAATTTCTGAACTTATTTGTTTGGTGTCTTTGTATGTATGGATTGCATGAGTTGTTACCGACGTGTGGTGATAATTTCATGTCAATAGCACCTTTAGAAATCTATTTACCCAGAAAAATGGTGACATGTTCAATACTTATTTTACCCTCTGTATATTTTACATTCACATCAGTCCCAAACCCTCAAGGCGCTTACAATCTAAAGTCCCTAACTCACATTCATACATACACATGCTAGGGCCTATTTAGTCTGGAGCTAATTAACCTACCATCATGTCTTTGGAGTATGGGGAGGAAATGGTAGTACCCAGAGGAAACTCACACAGGCACAGGGAGCACATGCTAACTCCAGGCAGGTGGTGCCATGGTTGGGATTTAAACCAATAACCCTAGTGCTGCTAGGCAGAAATGCTAACCACTTAGCCATTGTGCTACCCATATCAATGCTAGGGTATTTTCCTGACAGTCATTAGAACCAATGAAGTGACTTGAACTACCAGCCAAGGCTCTATGGTCTTTTTTTTTTTTTTAAAAAAAAAAAAAAAAAAAAAGAGGAAAGGGGGGCTTTTTGGTTTTGTGTTTTTTGTTCTTTTTTTTTCCCTCGCCTCACCATAATATGTCTGTTTTTCCTGTACATGCAGATTTGTAAAGGTATTGACAGGTCCACTTAAATGGTTTTTTAAATTGCAGTTCTGTTTGCACTTTACAGGAAACCAAAGAAAAACTGCGAGATGCAACAACAAAACTAAACCAAGCTAAAGAGGAGGCAGAACAGGTCCGGCGGAATTGCCAGGAGATAATAAAAAACTTACCAGGTATGACATCCTGAATATTCACACTGCCCTGAATCTCTATGTTCATGCTGTATGGGTGATCCTAAGTTGGTTGCTATTTCACAGTCCAGTCCATTAGACCATAGCTTCACTTCCCTCTGGTGCCCAATGCTCAAGTCACCATCCAGGGAGGATATAAGTAAAAGGTGAACCTCCCTCATATGTAGGATAGATGGAGTCTGGTCCAGGAAGTAGCCAAATTCAGATCCATAAGGAATAGCAGTGGCAGTCCCTTGGATGCATGTTCGTAAAATGATTCTTCCAAAATAAGTAGAGTTGAGGCATCAGAACAAAGTCAAGACAAATTGAAGGTACATATATTGTGGAAGTCCATCAGAGAGTTCCTAGAGACCAGGCAGTGTGGGAATAGCCCTTTCCTTTTTGGTGATGCAATAAATCCCACATTGTGCAAAAACCCATATCAAATGCTAATGTATCTTTCCTGACAGTCAATAGAACCAATGAAGTACTGTGAACTACCAGCCAAGGCTCTATGGCCCAAAAAAAAAAAAAAAAAAAAAGAGGAAAGGGGGGCTTTTTGTTCCTGTTTTCCAATCTTTTTTTTTCCAATCTGCCTCAAAATTGTCTGTTTTTCCTCATGCAGATTTGTAAAGGTACCTCGACAGGTCCACTTAAATGGTTTTTAATTGCAGTTCTGTTTGCACTTTACAATTAAACCAAAGAAAAAATGCGAGATGCAACAACAAAACTCCACACTTCACTGCAGAACAGGTCCGGCGGATTTTTGCTAGGAGATAATAAAAACTTGCAGGTATGACATCCTTTATTTTTATTCAGGTACTGCCCTGAATCTCTATTTCATGCTGTATGGAAGTGATCCTAAGATTGGAATTGACATTTCACAGATTTATTCCATTGGACATTTTTCACTTCCCTTGGGCCCATTTTGCTCAAGTCACATCCAGGGGAGGATATAAGTTAAAAGGTGAACCTTTATATTATATGTAGATAGATGGAGTCTGGTCCAGGAAGTTTGCCAAATTCAGATCCATAAGGAAGATTTATTGCATCAGAACAAAGTCAAGGTTTTTTTGAAGGTACATAATACATATATTGTGGAAGTCCTTTTCAGAGGGTTCCTAGAGACCAGGCAGTGTGGGAATAGCCCTTTCCTGACCGGTTTCGCCAGTAAAACCTGCTGCCTCAGAGGTGGGCTCAGGTTTGTTTAACATGCCTCATTTGGCTGGGCACCTAAAATGACCGCTCTGCTTTAACTGCGCATGCGTGGAACGTCGCAACATCATGACGTGGTGTGCGTAATGACGTCACACGCATGCACGGTACACAAAACACATAAATAATCAAAATAATAATGATTATACGGGCCTCTAGTGGACACTACAATAATTACAGTGATCAATAAGAAGATATATAAAGATACATAATGATGCTAGCAATGTACATGGTGTAACTGTTGCTCCCAGAAGGCCAATTTTTTGAAGAGAAAAACAAAAAAAAACACAATTATTCAAAGGGAACCCAGCCCATAACATGTCAACAACTAATATTGTTATTAAAAACAGAATCGTCCAAATAATGTGCCAGAGGCCACACATGGATTATTCTGATGTGTTACGGCCAGGCCATGTCCATGTGGTTCATTCCCAGGTCTTGCTTCTGGTGTTGGTCGGAGTCGTTTCACACTAGGAACAATATTACCAGCGCCAGGAAGCCTTTAACCACTTGCCAATTGCGGTGTCATGCAAGATTGTACCCATATGAAATTTTTATCATTTTTTTCTCACAAATAGAGCTTTCTTTTGGTGGTATTTAATCGCCTCTGGGCGCTTTATTTTTTGCGCTATAAACAAAAAAATTGCAAAAAATTTGAAAAAAAAAAAGTTTCTGTTTCTGTTATAAAATTTTTCAAACAGGTAATTTTTCTCCTTCACTGATGTGTGTTGATGAGGCAGCACTGATGGGCACTGATAGGCAGCACTGAAGGGCACTGATAGGCAGCACTGATAGGCAGCACTAATGAGGTGTCACGGATAGGCGGCACTGATGATGGGTACTGATAGCACTGATAGTTGGCACTGACTGGCAGCACTGCTGGGCACTGACTGGCACAACCTCTGGGCACTGACTGGTGGCACTGACTGGCAGCACTATTGGGCTGCACTGGTGGGCACAGGTGGGTGGCACTGGTGGGCACAGGTGGGTGGCACTGGTGGGCACAGGTGGGGGCACTGGTGGGCACAGGTGGGTGGCACTGGTGGGCACAGGTGGGTGGAGCTAGTGGGCGCACTGCTGGGCACAGGTAGGCGGAACTTGTGGGTGGCACTGCTGGGCACTGATCACCAGGGCACTGATCATCAGTGCCCTGATGATCGGTGCCGATCCCTGCTCTAACAGCTGTCGGTTCTCGGCAGTACTTTCCTCATGATCTGACAGCGTGAGGAAAGTACAGCCGAGAACCAGCAATTGCATTTCCCGGTGATCAGCGTGTCATTGGACACGGCTGATCACGTGGTAAAAGGCCGCTGTGATTGGCCTTTTACCACATCACGTGATCAGCTGTGTCCGTAGGACACAGCGATCACAGAGATCGCCGGGTGGGACGTGCAGGAGAGCGCGTTCTGGGAGGACGTCGTATGACGCCCACCCAGAACTGGCCGGCCACAGTGTAGCCGTCATTTGGCTATCTGCGGTCGGCAAGTAGTTAATAGGCCATTCCCAGTACATGATGATGAGTACTCAATAGTCTTTCGGAAAGTCTTTGTAACTAAGTACTTCATTCAGACCTGGTTTAGTAGTGGCCACTAGTTTCTTTTTGGAGGACCAGCCTAGCCCTGTCTCTTCCCCTAGGATCTTTTTTTCACCCTATCTAGTTCTGTACATGTTCTATGTAAGATATCAAAGTTATGCCTTGTACCAAAATGATGTCTAATGGGTGTCAACATTTTACCATTCGTATAATTAACATGACCTTAAATGCATTGACGGAAGTGGTGTATCGTCTTGCACACATAAATCACACCACAGGTAAATAGCATCAAACTACTCCCATGGTAGCACTCGTAATGTGATAGTTTGGTGTTAATTTGACATTGTTGGGCAAGGCGATTTCTGCACTCTCGTAAACCCACCCTACACTCAGGGCAGCTACCATATCTGAAGGTGCCTTTAGATCTAGATTGGCTTACACCAGTTGGTCTATTATAGTGGCTGTATACTAATTTATCCCTAAGGGAGGTGGATCATTTATAAATAATCTCAGGGTGTTGGTTTACATGTTTCAGAATGATCTCATCCTCAGTCAAGATGCACCATCATTTTTGTATTATATCTCATACTTGCCCGTGGCATGATCAGTTTTGTAGTTTCAGATGTCTTCTGTTTATTTGGACTATAGAGGAGAGATGTCCTCTCCTCCGGGATTTATAAATACAAGTGGTAGTATTCTACTAACTGTGCTTTAAACTTCATTCTCTCAATCAGCATTGACTATTTTTAATCCTTATGCTGCTAGCATTAGTAAAGAGAAAAGTATATCATATTTACGTGTTTTAACCACTTCCTGTCCGCCCGGTGTATATAAACGGCCGGACGATGGCAGTGCAGGGGTGGGTGGCCATTTATAAACGGCCTCCCCGCCCCCTGCTTGTGCGCACTCCCTGGGAGCGCACAGCACCTGCGATCCGGTGCCCGCGGTGTCCTCTGGACATAGTAGAACACCGATCATCTGTGCGAGGTCCCTATCATGTGATCACTGATTGGCCAATCATTGATCACATGCAGAGTAGTGAGCAAGATGTCACCTCTGACATCATTGCTTACTACGTGTGAAATCTGTGAATGATCACAGAGGTCACATGGTACAAGGCTATTCACAACAGCCTTGTACCATGTGACAAGCTGTGACCAATCACAGCTCACACAGTATTTCTCAATGGCTGCAAGAATGCAGCTAGAGAGAAGGAGAAATGATTGATGTTGCAGCCTTTACGGGTGTAAAAGTAATCTGTATAAAAAAAAAAAAAATCTTCATCACCCCCACAAGTAGTACAGTGACACTACTGCTAGGGTGACCGTATGTAAAAAAAACAAAACAAATATAAAAATGTAAAAAAAAATTTTTTTTTAATTATAATTTTTGGTTATAAACTAATTTTGGGTTATATTTTTTTTACTAAAAAGATAACTGAATACATTTTGGCCAAGATTTATGATGAAATATTTTATTTATTTCAAAATTTTATAAGAAAAAAACTTTTTTTTCGAAATTTTTGGACTTTTTCATTTATATAGAAAAAAAATAAAATCCCAGTGGTGAATAAATACCACCAAAATAAAGCTTTATCTGTCTCAAAAAAATGCTAAAATATTCATATGGGTACACTGTTGCATGACTGCGCAATTGTCATTCAAATTGTGATAGCGCTGAAAGCTGAAAATTGTCCTGGACAGGAAGGGGGTAAAAGTGTCCGGACTTGAAGTGGTTAAAGTAGAACTTTAGGCAGAACTTTTTCATTTTGGATAGTGTTGGAGAGGGTTATAACCCCTGAAGGGTTTATTTTTGCCATCTTTGTCCCATTGGAGAGATTTACCTTCACTTCCTGTCTCTTAGCCAAACAGGAAATGGGAGAAAATCCCTTCAAATTTGGTGGAATCTTTTGGGGACCCCAGGTCGCCAGAACATTACTGTCTGATTTACAAGCACTATTTAAATCTACCAACAGCTAGTTAGTATAAGTTCTTGCCTTATAGCATACAAATTTAATGGGTGGTTTAGATATTCCCAAACATTACATGGTTTTGCTCACGGTAAAGGTATTTGTTTGAAGATTGTACAATCACATTTTGTCATGAATGGTCATGACCTATGGGTTATGTTTTCTTAGATATACTTTTCATACTCCATTGGGGTGTGTGCAGTGCGCTAATTGTTTGGTTCCTAAAGCATAACTAAAGGCTTTTGTATGGCAGTCTATCCAAGTTCTGAATCCAGTTACTATCTGTAATGTACAAGCCCCATGAAGTAAATAAAAAAAACTTTTTTTTAACTTTCAAGTGAGACACAAATCTTCCTTTGTTTATATCTCAAACACTCCCCCCTCCCAGACACTGCAGCTTACTGTGGGGAAGTTTTTATAACTGAGGCACTGACAATGCTGATAGCCATGCCTCCTGCAGCATCATTTTAATTCCACTGTAGTGCAAAAAAGCAACGCCTACTTGAGAGTGAGAACTCTGCTCTGAATTCAGGAGCAGCGCAGCAGCATTGCCACACTATCACAGCAAATTCCAAAAGATGGACTTCACTGGCGGGATCAGTAGGTATTTGTGGCACTTTGCAGGGGAACTAAGGGAAAACTGTAAGTACAGATGCTCTTATAACTAAAGTGTTACTAAACCCTGGACCCTGCATTCACTATAGCTGGTCTCCCCGGACCCTGCATTCACTATATCTGGTCTCCCCGGACCCTGCATTCACTATATCTGATCTCCCCGGACCCTGCATTCACTATATCTCTGTCTCCCGAACCCTGCATTCACTATATCTGATCTCCCCGGACCCTGCAGTAACTATATCTGGTCTCCCCGAACCCTGCATTCATTATATCTGGTCTCCCCGGACCCTGCATTCACTATATCTGGTCTCCCCGGACCCTGCATTCCCTATATCTGGTCTCCCCGGACCCTGCATTCCCTATATCTGGTCTCCCCGGACCCTGCAGTCACTATATCTGGTCTCCCCGGACCCTGCAGTCACTATATCTGGTCTCCCCGGACCCTGCAGTCACTATATCTGGTCTCCCCGGACCCTGCATTCACTATATCTGGTCTCCCCGGACCCTGCATTCACTATATCTGGTCTCCCCGGACCCTGCAGTCACTATATCCCCGGACCCTGGTCACTATATCTGGTCTCCCCGGACCCTGCAGTCACTATATCTGGTCTCCATGGATCCTGCATTCACTATATCTGGCCTCCCACAGTACACAGAACATGGAATTGCAATTATTTTAGTAAATATAAACTGCTAAATACCTTTTCTCATCAGCAGTATATAGCAGTCTTGTGACTTCTATCAGTGTCCGGCCTAGCGCTGGTTAAAGCTTGTAGAAAGAGTTTTCATTCTCCCCTGATTGTCCTTTTGAGGCTGCATGACCCCTGACCCTCTGTCTGCACAGTGCTGATTGGCCCTGTGCTAATCACATGCACTCTCCCAAGAAAAAAAAAACTCAATACACACCAGTCAGAGCATGTGCAGCTTGCCCCCAAGGTTGTGTTTGTATCAGCAGATGATTTAGGGACAGTAGAAGGGGATGATCAGAGAAGACAGGATCAAACTACCTTTTTACGCAATGCAGAGGATTAACCCCTTAGGTTCCACGGTGCGTATAACAAGCATGCTTTACTGCATATACAGACTGATTGATTTTACTGTTGTGGGTTTAGTAACACTTTATTTTTTCTGCTGCTAATTTTTATTTTTTTTGTCTATTTTACGCCTGTGAGGATGAAGCATTACTGTACAGCATCAGTGAGTCTGTGGAATCCTCTAGTCCCAGTGTTGTTATAATTTCATGTCTTTTGAAGTAGGTGGCATGTGTTATTTCTACAAAGGTATTTCCTGTTTCTTTTATAGGAGTCAGAGGAAATTAAATCTAATGAACTGGATGCCAAACTCCGAGTCACAAAAGTTGAGCTAGAGAAACAGATGCAGGAAAAAACTGACCACCTGGAGGTAAAAATGTTAAATCTTCCTGACTTTATGGTGTGTGTGTGTGGTGTATGTATGTATATGTATGGATGGATGGATGGATGGCTAGATAGTATTTAGACCACATTTTAATTGATTATTACGAATATATGTAATTAAAAAGATGAGCTGGACAAACAGCCGTGTCCATCAAGACTGATGCACCACTGCAAGCGTGAGACAGACAGATCTATTTATTTAAAATCAAGAAATGTGATCTGCTTAGCAGGGGCTGGGAGTAGCAAAGGGAGGTCCGGAATAGTGAGAAACAAGAAGACTTCTCTTCTGCTGCCCAGGGCTCTATGTGGATATGTAGGGGCAGTGACAGGGGAGCTTAGAACTCCTCTATCATCGCTGCAAGCCCTAGGAATTGTCTATTAATACTCCCAGCATTGTGAATGGTAAGCTGATTTGAGCATTTCTGGAGTGCGGTATGTTTACGCAGGTAATAGTCCATTTGACAATCAGACAATTCTACTACTTAGTGAGACTTGAAGGCAAAAGAAGGGAGGTTAGTAAATGGTATTTAATGCTGAATGCTGAGCGTTCAGCTCTAAAAAACGTATTTTTTATGTCCATATACTTGGATTTGGCTTGGCTTCATGGCCAGAAGACATGAATTCTTGGAAATTTGGAAGCATTTAGGAAGCAAGTTCCTTCTTCCCGCTGCTCAACCTGAGGCTGACAACTGTCCTCAAGCCTCCCTAACCAGTGAATGGGCATTTCATGTCTGTGCTTATATGCGGCAAAGACAGAAGTCTACAGGTTATTAACATATGCAGGCAAACTGAAAATGAAAAGACCAGATGTAGAGGGTCTGACCAGAATAGTGACTGTTATGACTGGTCCGGGGGGGGGACCAGATATAGTGACTGACTTCCGGGGGGACCAGGTGACTGTGGTAGTGACTGCGACCAGTATAGTGACTCAGGGTCCGGGGGACCAGATATAGTGACTGCAGGGTCCGGGGGACCGGATACAGTGACTGCAGGGTCCGTGGGACCAGTATAGTGACTGCAGGGTACCAGATATTGAATTCCGATTATTACCAGATATAGTGACTAGGGTCAGATATAGTTTGCAGGGTCCGGGGGGACCAATATTGACTGCAGGGTGGAATATAGTGACAGAATATGTGACTGCAGGGTCCGGGGGGACCAGACTTCCCCGGGGGGACCAGACTTGCAGGGTCCACCACTTATAAGTGACAGGGTGAAGGACACAGAAATAGTGACTGCAGTGTCCGGGGAGACCAGATGTGACTGTCAGATATAGTGAAGGGGAGACCTTAGTGACTGCATTTGTGACTGCTCCAGGGAGGCCGGATATAGTGACTGCAGGGTCCAGGGAGTTATCTGCAGGGTCCAGGGAGGCCGGATAAGTGAAAAGAACCGGATTGTGAATGCAGAAGACCAGAATATGAATCTGCAGGGACTTTAGTTATAAGAGCATGTGTACTTACAGTTTTCCCTTGAGCGATCCAGTGAGAGGAAGAATTCATTTAAAAAAGCAGCTGCCCAGGACCTGTGAACCTTGACTGTGTGAAGGTGCAGATTTGTGCTTCTGGAGTGCGTATCTGAAGAGACGTCTCTAAAATCTTCTCTTGGTATTCTGATCATCTCAGCTAAAACTTTTTTTATGTCCCTGCCAGGTTCATCAGGCAAAAATCAAGGAGCTGGATGACCTGAAAAGAACTTTTATAGAAGGAATGGATGAACTGCGCACTTTACGAACGAAGTAGTATGCCACTGGTCTTACCACTTACAATGTGTTTTGTTTTTTTTCTTAATTCTCCCAGTGGAATTCTCAGTCATATGATTACATTTATTTATTCAGTTTATAAATTACATGGAATTACAGAAATGTCTACAGTATGATGTTGATCCACAGTAACTGAAGGACACTTGTCCTCTGTCTGTGTCAGGTGAAGTGTCTAGAAGCTGAGCGGCTCCGGACAGAAGAGGAATTATCTAAGTACAAAGAACTTATTAACAGGCAGAAAGCCGAGATCCAGAATCTGCAGGACAGAGTGAAGGTTGTCGACCAGCAGGAAGAACAGCACAAAAGGTACCCAACTCTCATCATGAAACACAAATCCCAGTCCCTAGGCGAGTTTCACAAATCAGACTGGTTTTAAGTGCCTCATGCTTTGTATTAAACTAATGTGAATATATGTGTGTGTCCTACAGCTTGCGTGAATGACGTCAGTTTTTACCGGTACACCAATCATGATATTAAAGCTGAACTTCTCTGGGAACTTTGTGTTGTAGAAAAAAATGTAAAGAGGACTTGGATGACCTTAATATTTCCTTAGGCTAGGTTCACATCTGTGCGGGTGGTGCCGCTGCGGATCCGCACAAAAATCCGTGCAGCTGCACCACCCACACAGAGGAATGCAGACCCGCGGGCGGGTGCCATTAATTCTAATGGCACGCTGCCTGCACTGGAAATCGCAACCGTACTGGGAACCGAGGTTCCCCTGTGGGCTGCCTTTTCAGAAGAAGTGCAGGGACTTCTATCCTGCGTGTCCCGGGGCATGGGAGTCCATTCATATGAATGGGCTCTCGTGTCCACACAAAACACGGACTGCAGGAACACGGATATGTGAACTAGGGGTTAGTGTGTATGGTCCCCCTCTTACAGATACACAATTCTTATTTTACAAGATGTATTCAACACCTGTTTTCTTGTATAATATAGGCCATAAAGAGGACCCCCCCACTTGCAAAACAAATGGTAATAATACTGTGTGCCATGCGTTACATATAAAAAACATACTTACATATGTCCAGGCTGTCTTTCCACCTTGTGGATCGTTTTTTCAGACTGCTTTTGTGTAGTTGGTGCTCCCATGCTACCATTTTGAAATTTATGTCTTGTGCATTTGCAAGATGGAATGCATGATGTCATGCGCCTCGTCTCAGGCATGCACCGTACCACAAAGGCTTTAAAAGAAATCTCGCAAGATCTCGGGGGGAAAAACTTTTTTTTTTTTTTTTAACCAGCAATTACTCTAATGCCGTACAACGCGTGCACGAGATGAAATACATGACGTCTTGAGCTTTATGTCGGGCATACAAATTATTGGAATACTGCAAGATCTTTCATTTTAGTATGGGATCTCCCTGAAGGCACTAGTGATGTTGCCTTCAAAGGGGTGGATTTACTTAAGGTAAAAAGACTGCATTTTGCAAGTGCCGTCGCACTCCTTTTCCCCAGATCTTAGTAAATGTGGTGAAGCTTCACTTTGTAAAGAATACCTATAAGGGTGCAAGGAAAATAAAAAAAAAAACAGCATTTTTATTTGCACATGATTGGATGATGGAAATCAGCAGTGCTTTACCACATTTACTATGCTCTGGGGAAAATGAGTGCAATTTCACTTGTAAAGTGCACAGTCTAGCTACCCTTAGTAAATGCACCCCAAAGTGATTTATTTAAAAAGTATTCCCTGATGTGGGCCAGATGGCATGATGATACGACCGGTTTCCTGATTCCAGACAATACTCCATAATATGTTTTAACTGATGACAAGTGGAGTGTATGGAAAAGCTCCAGCGTTGGGTTTTTGCAACAAGTTAAAGCGGAATTACACTGCATCTGAGCACCACATACCAAAATTGCTTTTAAATTCATTTTTAATATTCAAAGCAAATTCCCTCATCCATCCATTTCTCCATGCTTTATTTTGTTGAGAAACCACTTTGCAAAGCACCCCCTACCACTTCTGGCCATGGCCATCTTGAGTAAGGGCAGATGATTCATGTAGCATTTAATTCCTGGAATCCATCTACCCTTAGCTCTGCCATGCAGGCAGGAGGGTGTGCTTAGCTGAGAAAACCCCTCCTGAAGACTCCTGGAATGCATGACATCATTTGCCTAGGCATGGGAGCCAGGAAGTAACTGAAGAAAGGTAGAAAAAAAAAGTTTAAAACAAGTAAATATAATATACTTTCCTATCTATTAACTAATGCTTGCAGCAAAACGATTTAGAATAGTCCATGTTGATTGAGAGAGTGAAGTTCCACTTTAATGTATTGGGTGCTGTTACTATATATACTACTACAGATCCTGCTTTGTGTGTTTCAGATTGTGGAGATCTTCTTATAATGCAGTCACTGATGTGTAGTGAGGTGTCTCTGTGTTTTATGTATGTTTTTGGCTGTAAAACCTGAATAAAATGTGAAAAATGTAAAAGTTGGCAGCTGGAAGTACTTTACTCAAGCAGTCCAATTCTGCCTTCCATGCAACCCACTCTTCTCAGGGTTCCAATTCCTCTTCATAGCCATCTTGGTTTCAGAAGCTGGCTGTCACTACCTGTTGACTTACATCTGGCCCCCCCCCTTACCCCCAACACACACACACCTCATGCATCAGACAGAGCCACCAGTAAGACCTGTCCTGTAGCCTCCTGGGATGTGTAATGTTAAAGCAGCTATTTATTTATTTTTTTTATATTAGAGCAGGGGTCTCCAAACTTTCTAAACAAAGGGCCAGTTTACTGTCCTGCAGACTTTAGAGCGGCTAGTCTGTGGCCATTGAGAGTTAAAATTGTCCTGGTGTCAGTGGCAGTTAACAATGCATCTTTGATATTCGGGGGAGGAATAGTGCCCCATTGCTGGTGTCAGTGGCAGGAATAGTGACCTATTGGTGTCAGTGGGAGAAATAGTGTCCTGTTGGTGTCCGTAGAAGAAATGGGGCCCCATTGTTGGTGTCAATGGGCCTCATTGCTTAATTCATTAGCAGGAATTATGCCCCATTGTTGGTGTCCGTGGGAAGAATAGTGTCTTGTGTCAGTGGGAGAAATAGGGCCCCAATGTTGGTGTCAATGGGCCCTATTGCTCATGTCAGTAGCAGGAATTATACCCCATGGTTTGTGTCAGTGGGAAGAATAGTGTCTTGTATCAGAGGGTGGAATAGTGCCCCATTGCTGGTGTCAGTGGGAAGAATAGTGCCCTGTTGGTGTCAGTGGGAGAAATAGGGCCCCAATGTTGGTGTCAATGGGCCCTATTGCTCATTGCCAGATCACAGTGCTGTATACTGTATACTGGTGTCAGTGGCAGTTAACAATGCATCTTTGATATTCGGGGGAGGAATAGTGCCCCATTGCTGGTGTCAGTAGCAGGAATAGTGACCTATTGGTGTCAGTGGGAGGAATAGTGCCCTGTTGGTATCTGTTGGTGTTGTGTTGAGTCCACCACCCACAGAGCCACCAGGGAAGGTAACAGAGGTGCTATATCGGATGATCCAAAGGGAACCCCAGATGGTCAGAGGTGCCCAGAGGGAAGCCTAAAGATGCTAGACAAGTCCTTAAGCGGATTCCATTTGAGACCTTGAGATGGGATATATCTTCTTAATGCATATTTGAATTCTGCATCTGGTGAGTGTATAATTTGAATATTTTATCACCAGAAGACACAAGAAGGATCACCATTCAATATATAGACTTTGGCACTTTATTTCGGCACTTATCAGTCACCTATATATGTCTTATTATTGTGGTTTATCCATATTAAATCATTGAAATGAATGATATCAAGTTTTTATGCCTGTAAGCATCCTCCAGTATTTTATCTGAGTTTTTAGCGCTGCACCTTTTGTATTTTATTAGTTGTTGGAGGTTTTTGGTACCTTTCGTTGTACAGCGGCTTTGTTCTAGTGCTCACTTTCTCTTCTCATAGTGTGTGTGTGTGTGTGTGTGTGTGTGTGTGTGTGTGTGTGTGTGTGTGTGTGTGTGTGTGTGTGTGTGTGTGTGTGTGTGTGTGTGTGTGTGTGTGTGTGTGTGTGTGTGTGTGTGTGTGTGTGTGTGTGTGTGTGTGTGTGTGTGTGTGTGTGTGTGTGTGTGTGTGTGTGTGTGTGTGTGTGTGTGTGTGTGTGTGTGTGTGTGTGTGTGTGTGTGAGATTATACAGTGTTTATAAAGCCCCAATAGTTTGCTCAGCGCTGTACATTGCAAAGGGGGACAGAACATGTGCCAGAACAATACCAATACAATGCAAAACATGAGGGGATCGAGGGCCCTGCTCTTTGGAGCTTACAATCTAGGAGGGAGGGGATGGTGGTACAGGAGGAGATAGCTGTGGGAGATGGAGTAGTAGGAAGAGTGGAGGAGGTCGGCAAGTTAGCAGGGGGTGGGGTAGGCTTCCCTGAAGAGATGGGTTTTCAGGGTGTGCCTAAAGGAGAGGAGAGTAGGTGATAATCTGATGGGTTGGGGCAGGGAGTTCCAGAGGATGGGTGACACCCTGGAGAAGTCCTGGAGGCTATATATATATATATATATTTTACCCTTCCTCGGGATCTCAGCTTTATGGTAATAGTTTTCTGTCTATTCCCATTGCTGAAAATATTTTTTTTTATATATCTAGTACTGTTTAATACATCTTTTATTTTCTGCATTGGTCTCCTTTCTGGAGTGTAATTATGCAAATAATGTGAATAGAGTTTCGGATTTGTGTGGATAGTTGACATCAGGAACTTTCACGGGCGTTTTATGGTTTATCTGCAAACCATTCATGAAATTAGCATGTAATTCTTCTGGTGATGGAGCCATGTAAGTTGTGTAATTAGCAGTAGGGATATGGTAAATCCACCACGCTCCTTGTCCACTGGGTCCACTCTCTGATCTCTCTTTGTCTCTGGAGTGTTAGCTGCAATTAGCCGTCTCTAATCATTGTGCTGTGGGGTTACTCCATTATGGTTTTAGTCCTTTCATCTGCAGGCGATCTTCTTAAAGTGTGTCTGATCAGTGGGAATAATGAACAGTAATTGGATTTCCCATGGATAGATTAGACACTGCTTGTTCTATGTCTGCAGCCTCCTGTTCTCTTAGTTTTCACTTATGATCTTTAGCTATTATTACTTTTTTGGAGCCTTTTGATTAAAGGTTGGAATCAAAATTTTGCCTGTTTTGAAATACACAGTTTCTTACAGAGTGATCTGTTTTATAAAGCTCAAAATAGATTTAAAGGAGATTTCCAGGCATGGTATATTTTTACATAGTTATATTGGTCCAACTTGGATCATCTCCAATCTTGTCTCCAAATATCACCCAAACCGTACTCTCCGCTCCTCGCACAACCTCCTGCTCTCTAGCTCCCTCGTCTCCTCCTCCCATGCTCATCTCCAGAACTTCTCCAGAGCTTCCCCCATCCTCTGGAACTCGGTACCCCAATTTATCAGACTATCGCCTATTCTGCTCACTTTTAGGCGATCTTGAAAACCTATCTCTTTAGGGAAGCTTATCCTGCCCTCAGCTGATAATGGAATCTTCTACTCCTCCTACCAGTCCATCCCCCACAGTTATTACCTTTTGTACCACTAGCCCCTCCCTTTTAGATTGTAAGCTCCAAGGAACAGGGCCCTCCTATCCCTCTTGTATTGAACTGTATTGTTGCTGTATTGTCTCCCGTTATATTGTAAAGCGCTGAGCAAACTGTTGGTGCTATATAAATCCTGTATTGTAATAATGTAACTGTATATACCATACCAGGCTGATGCTCATTGAAGATGGAAATCCATGAAGTACACATTGCTACACCAGTGATCTCTACTTGCTAGCTGTACACTTTGTGAATGAATACAGGATGTCGGTCGCTTAGCATGGCCACAATGACGTGACGTCACCACCTCACCTCTCCACCTCATCCAATCAGAGAATGCTTTGCATTCATTCGGATAATGCAAAGCATTCTCGGAATGGCACTTACACTGGGCAGCAAACCTCCTGTGTTCACAATACAGCAGGGCAGCCACTCAGGATAGGACTCAGAAGCAAGTGGAGATCACTGGAGTAGCGGTATCTACTTCAATGATTTCCAGCTATCAGGGGCTTTGCCTAGGTATGATATATACTGTACATAGATACATTGATCTAAGCTGGACCAATGTAATTATGTAAAAATATACCATACCTGGTATTCCTCTTTAAACCCAATCACTAAAATCTCACGTTGGCTTTAAGATGTTAAATCAGAAATTCACTCTATCAATCAGCATTGACTATTTCTTATAATGCTGCTAGTAAATAGATTGGAAAGTATAACATATTTACCTGTGTTAAACTTTTTTTTTTTACATTTCTTCATTTACTTCCTGGTTCCCTAAGCTAATGATATCATACATCCCAGGAGTCTTCAGGAGGGGAGGACGGGTTTTCTCAGCTATGCACACCCTCCTGCCTGCATGCCTGAGCTAAGGGTTGATGGATTCCTGAAAGTAAATGCTACATGAATCATCTGCCCTTATTTAAGATGGTCACAGCCAGACATGCTAGGGGGTGATTTACAAAGTACGGTAATTTCTCAGCAAAATAAAGCCTGAAGAGATGGATGGGTGAGTTTGCTCTGAATATTAAAAATTAATTAAAAGCGTTTTTGGTTTGTGGTGCTCAGATGCAGTGAAGTTCTACTTTAAAGTGGAACTCCCACCACACCCCAAAGCACCCCCCCTTCTCATAAAGGTATGTTTTTTATTTGAAGAAAAAAAAAAATAAAAACCTAAATACCTATTTTCCTTCAGGCATCTTGCCAGTGTGATGATATCTCAAGTACTTCCCCTTCATCCTTCTAGCAGTGGCACACAGGTGATGGGCATTTTTCCAGGACTAAGTGGCACTCATGCAATGACATTTGAGTGCCGCTCAGTCCTGCAGTGCTATAAGGCCAGCCTACATGATGATGCAGCTCCTAGGGGACACGCTGGCCTCACAGGAAATGGGCAGGATGACAGAGTGTCATGCTACCCAAAAAGGACCACCAGCAAGCTGGTAGGTAGAAATTGGAGGGGAAAGAGGAGTATTGATGAAACATAGAGAACATTTTTTCTTGGAGTTCCACTTTAATGTAATTTTTAGAAGTCCTTTTCAATTTTTAAATCTGCATTTACAAAAAGAATCACTGGTGATCCTGCATGATGGTCCACGTTCAGGCACTTCCTGTTATATGGGTGACAACACTTTGTTCCCCAAACGTGCTTCTGCATTGTAACCTGGTTTCTGGCGGAGGCTATAAGCAGCCATGCAGACATGCATTGTGTAGGCATGGTACGCTGTTGTCACTATTGGGAAGCCAGCCCAGAGCAATGTTGGGCAGCCAACGCTGGAGTGAGGGTCTACAGACAGGAAGTGGATGAAAGAGGCTGGAGGAGATATGCACTAGAATAATAATTTAAGAAACATGAAAACAAGGCAGTTCTTAGATGCACAGAGCAAACTAAATGCCATCCAGTTAGGCGTTTAGATTGACTTTAAACCAGGGGTCTCCAAACTTTCTAAACAAAGGGCCTGTTTACTGTTCTTCAGACTTTAGGGAGCCAGACTGTGGCCATTGAGAGTAGAAAAGGTCCAAACGTCAGTTGGAAAAAACAATGCCCCTTCTTTGGTGTCAGTGGGGAGGAATTGTGCCTCATCATTGTTGAAATAGGGCCCCGTTGTTGGGTTTATTGGGAGACACTGTGCCCCATCATTGGTTTCATTGGGAGGAATTGTGCCCCATTGTTGGTGACATTGGGAGGAATTGTGCCTCATCATTGATGGTATCGGGCCAGAAGCGGACTGACCATTTGAGCACTCGGACACTGCCCGAGGGCCCTGGGTCAGTAGGGGGCCCAATGACATGCCCCTGGTACCTTTATTTTTATAGGCTTTTTTGGGTGTGCTTTGAGTGTGGGCAAGGACACGGGCCCCATGATCCCCTATTGCTGAGGGGCCCCATGAGTTGTCCATTTGCCCCTGTATGGGGCCCCATTGCTGGTATCATTGGGAGCAATTGTGCCCTATATCGTTGGTGTAATTGGGAGAAATTGTGCCCTATATTTTTTTGCTGTCAGTAAAGGAAATTTTGCCCCATTGTTCGTATCAGTGGGTGAAATAGTGCCCCAAAGGACAGGTAAAAGCAAGTGAAGGGCCACAGTTTGGAGACTACTGCTTCAAACCATCAAACAGATGCAGTGCTACAACTAAATTACCCATTTGTGTGTATATTAAACAAAGGTACATAAAAGGTTTACTGCTGTAGGCGGTCTTTTGCTGCACTCCATGGCACCAAGTGCTGACTTGATGATAAGGTTCGATTGTTTCCAGCATACTGGATTAAAAGCAAATAAAATGCACATTATTTCCCCCACTTTTTTTTTTTTTTCTTTGTAACAAAAAGTTTAAAGCGGAGCTCCACCCAAAAGGGGAAGTTCCGCTTTAAGGCCTTGTCCCTCGCTCCCCGTTAAGGACTGGCATTTTTGTGGAGCAAGTACCCGAAAATGGAAGGTACCTGCTCTCACTTCTGCTGTGATCGCCTAGGCAATGAAAAGTTGTCACCCCCCCCCCCTTCCTCCCCCTCCAAGTAGTTTTGTGGGACACATGACAGGCACAGTGGGCACCCATTTGTGAAGCCACAAACTGTCAGTTGGATGCCCACAGCTGAAGATGCCGGTGCTGAGAACACAGTACGGCTGGTGAAACCGGCTGCAGGGAGGACACCGCGGGATCGTGGGACAGGTAAGTGGCTGTTTTTTTAAAAGTCAGCAGCTACAATTTTTGTAGCTGCTGACTTTTATTTTTTTTTTTACAGTTTGACTGGAACTTCGCTTTAATTGCAACTCTGAAACATTCACAAAGACAAGCCAAAGCATGCAGCTTACTTAGGAGAGTAAGGCCAGCAATACAAAATTTGACCGACCGACTTTTTTTTTTTTTTTTTTCTTTTTTGTCTGAAAATCAGACCTAAGAATAATCGGCCGATTTCCGCTCCGTTAGTGGGTCAATGGCATCAGCCGATTATCATGGTTCCTCCCCTTTTTGGTGATCGGCATTCAAAATTCGTGGAAAACGACTTATTTTTGACTCAGTGATGGTCAAATCGTATGATTGTTTTTCCGAATAGAATATGCGCATGAGCCATGATCTGGAAGGAACAGACGTTTCGCCTGTTTTCGGACGAAAAATCGTTCGAAATTCGAACCATGTATGGCCTGCATAAAAGGGTTACATTGTGTATGTGCGTGTATGTATATGTGTGTGTATATGTATGTATGTGTGTGTGTGTGTATATATATGTATATATATGTATGTATATATATATATGTATATATATATATATATATATATATATATATATATATATATATATATATATATATATATATATATATATATATATATATAAATATAATGGACCCTCTGCAGTCTAGAGTTTTTATATGGTTTTGTATAATTGGCTCCTATCTGTTCTCTCCTTACCCTTCTGGTCTCCTCACCCTCTGTAGGGACAGACAAGAGATTGAGAGTTTACAGGAGGAACTGAACAGTCTGAACGCTGTCATCTCCGACCTTCACCGGGATATAGAGGGCAGTAGGATGCGGGAGTCTGAGCTACTGGGGTTTACAGAGAAGCTGACCAGCAAGAACGCACAGATCCAGTCTGAGAACAACTCCTTACAGGCCCAGCTGGATAAGCTGACATATAGTGAGAGTGAGCTCTTCAGTCAACTGGAACAGCTCCAGCTCTCCAACACTGAACAGGTAAGATATGTTATGTTATATTTTATATAAAACACAGTAAATTGCCACTTAGTATTTCCACTATAGGTGTGTAAAGAATTAAGTATGAACTTTATAGCTGAACTCCAGCCTTTGCTTCATTGTTTCACCACAATTGTATAGGCTCCTCTCCTATAAGACTGCTTACTGTCATTTTGCTGCACCCTGTGAGCTATTCAAGGTGTGCATTGGAAGCAGCAGAAAGTTAAATAGAGCCTGCCTCATTTCCTGTCTGGACCAAGTTCAGCATCAGCCCCTCTTCCCAGCCTTACTGTCCCTGGCCTGTCTTTTTCATTTATTGAATTTTTTCTTTTCATTATTGGGACTTATCACATGTGGGCACTCCTACAGGGTGGTCTGTATGCAAATAGCCTAGGAAGACCCAGGCCTCCAGACTGACACCCCACCCATCAAGAGTTTTGATTTACATAATTCTTCCTTGAGCCAGGCTGCTGCTTGCATCTGGGCTGAGGGCTTTTGAGAGGAGTACTGAGGCAGTGTGCTGTGATGTTTTCTGGAAGCTATGTAAGACACATTGCCTGCCTTTTCCCACAAGCCCTAATATGCCTGCATTGCATAGAAAAGCACAGAGCCCCAGTAATAACATCACTTAGTCTAAAATAAGTTATGTGATGAAAACAGGTTTTATCAAACAAATTAATTTAGTATGTAGGGGAGAAAGGAGAAAACAGGGAAGAAAAAAAAAAATGAACCACTTAAACCTCTGCTTTATATCACAATAGCATGTTGCATCTTATTATATATTCTGTATTGTACTCTGTGACAGGAAGAAAGACTGACATCAGAGAGGAAATTAAGACAACAGGAGGTGACTTCCCTCCAGACAGAGTTGAACTCTCAGCAGTCTCTGATGGCTTCACGGAACACTCGAATAGATGAGCTCAACAATGAACTGGCCACACAGAAGCGGAAACACGCTGTCAATCTGAAGGATCTAACCAAACAGCTTCAGCAAGGTGACTACATGACCGACCACACTGCCCACAGGCATGGCTGCTGTTAGGCTAATTCTGAAAATGGAAGTCATTTGCTGTAACAGAAATGGAGGGATGTCTGTGCTCAAATCCTAATATCCTACATACAATCATGTGAACAAATATGTACACCCCCATAGAAATTGCTGAATGTTTCTCAACAAATAGGAACTGGCAAACATTGGACCTTGATTCAAACAGTGCCTACAGATAAATGTGATAAATATGGGTTAATTATTTTCATGATCTAATTAAACCCAGATTTGTTATGTGAGGTGTGCCAATAATTATAACCTCCTTGGAGAGTATGCAGGCAAAACCTGTCTTATTTAAACCTCAGACACCATTGAAAGAGAAGTGCAGGAACATAAAATTATAAACATTCATACTCACCTAGATTGCTGCAGCATCGACCCACCTGCACCTGTCCCTGGCCAGCTCTACACTGAGCACTGAGCATGCTAAGACTGCTGATCACTCAGTTCTCAGGTCTGCTGTGAGTACAAAGCAGTGACTGTCAGTCACTGCTCTGCGCTCTACTCCTCGAACGCTCATTGCTGCTCTGGGCTGTGAAGGGGACGTCAGCAGCTGGCTCAGGCTCTCAGCTGTGTGCTGAGAGGCTAAGCCAACTGTCAGTCAGGCGTCTGGGCAGATCCCGACATTATTGTTGGGATCCCTGCAAAGCCTGGACTTGGTTTGTGATGTCAGCTGACAGCAGAAGTTAGCCCACTGTCGGCTTGATCTGGGTTACAGGAGTAGAGAACTAAGTGCACTCCTGTGATGCACAGAAGTAGGGCCAAAAGAGCTTTGGCAGTGCTTCTCCTTTTAACTTGTGTGTTGCAGAAGTTAATTTGCTGATGCTTATGAGTAGAGATGAGCGAATCGAAGTAGGCGAAGTGGAATTCGCTTCGAATATTAGAAAAATTTCGATTCGCGCCGAATCCGAAAATAAGCAGACTTCGGATGCGCGAATTGAAATTTTTCCTAAAATGGCGGGCGGCGACATGTGCGGCGACGGAGCGGGGATGTCTGGGAAGGCGCGCAGACAAGGCGCGCTGACCATAATGCATTCATTCATGACATGTGATGGCATTAGCCAATCAGCAGCCAGCCAGCCAGCACTGTGTAATGGTCGAGCTATAAATGGCGGCCATTTTAGAATTCTCCATTTGCCCTCCAGTCATTCAACAGAGGCAGACCTGGCTGTATTCAGGGAGAGAGTTAGGGACACAGAAACGTTACTTAGGGACCCATAGAAACGGTTACTAGGACACCAGAAACGTTTGATTACTTAGGGCCACAGAAACGGTACTTAGGGACATAGAAACGTTACTTAGGGCCACAGAATCGTTACTTAGGGATCACCAGAAAACGTTACTTAGGGCCACAGAAAACGTTACTAAGGGACACGAAACTTTACTTAGGGACACAGTCCAACATTTGTTACTTAGGACAGACCTACAGATTTGTTACTGTGGGACCAAGTTTGTTACTGAGGCCCTACAGAACCGTTACTGATCTGGACCACAGAATTGTTTCTGAGAGGACCCAGAATTGTAGTGTTCTGTGAGGGACACAGAAGTGTTAACTGTTACTGAGGGACACAGAATTGTTACTGAGGGACACAGAATTGTTACTTGAGGGACCACAGAACGCTGTTACTGAGGGCCCACAGAATTACTTAGGGACAGACACAGAATGTTACTGAGGGACACAGAATTGTTACTGAGGGCCACAAGTAATTGTTACTGACGAGGACACAGAAATAGTCTATTGAGGGACACTAGAATCGTTACTTAGGGACTCAAATTGTTACTGAGGGACAGACACAGAATTGTTATCCCCTGAGGGACACAGAATTGTTACTGAGGCCACAGAACCCGTTACTAGGGCCACTGAACCTTAGAGGCCTCATACCGGTACGTAGGGCCACAGAATACTCAGAAACCGTATTATGCGCCACAGATACCGACACAGACACGAATTTCCGTTACTAGAGGGGACACAGAACTTGACTTACTGAGGGACACTCTCAGCCACAAATTGTTACTTGTTACTGAGGGCCACAGAATTGACTGAGGGACACAGAATTTGTTACTTAGGGACACAGAACGCGTTTGTTACTGAGGGACACAGAATTGTTACTTGCAGGGACAGAACAGACTTGTTAACTGAGGGACACAGAATTTTACGAGGGCCAAAGAAACGGGTACTGAGGCCACAGAACCGTTACTTAGGGCCACAGAAAAGACGAAACGTTACTTAGGGCCACAGAATCGTTACTTTGGGCCACAGAATTGTTACTACTCGTTACTAGCCACAGTTACTTAAGGAGCAGACACAGATTTGTTACTGAGGGCCACAGAAACGTTACTGAGGGCCACAGAATAGTTATGAGGGACCCACAGAATTGTTACTGAGGGGCCACACAAATTGTTACTAGGGCCACAGAAACGTTACTTAGTTGCCACAGAAACGTTACTTAGGCCACAGAATTGTTACTCAGGGACATCAGAATTGTTACTCAGGGACACAGGAATTGTTACTGGGACACAGAATTGTTTACTCAGGGACGACACAGAACTTGTTTACTGACAGGAGCAGAAGAATTGTTACTGAGGGACACAGAATTGTTCTGAGGGACACAGAATTGTTACTGTAGGGACAGACAGAAATGTTTACTGAGGGACAGACAGAATTGTTACTAGAGGGTAACAGACAGAATTGTTACTGAGGGACAGTCAGAATTGTTACCTGAGGGACAAGACAGAATTGTTACTGAGCGGGACACACACAGATTTGGTTTAACTGAGGGACACAGATTGTGTTACTGAGGGACAGACAGAAGTTGGTTAACTGGATGTCCACAGAACCGTTCTGAGGGCCACAGAACCGTTAACTGAGGGAGACAGAAATTGGTTTACTGAGGTACACAGACAGAATTGTTACCTAGAGGGACACAGAATTGTTACGGAGGACACGAATAGTGTTACTGAATGGGACAGAACAGAATTGTGTTACTGAGGGACAGACACAGAATTGTTACTGATGAGGAACAAGACACACGAATTTGTTACTGAGAGAGGACACAGACATGTTACTCAGGGCCACAGAAACGTTTAACTTAGGACTACAGAATTGTTACTGAGGGACACCAGAAATTCGTTACTTAGGGCCACAAGAAACTTTACTAGGGCCACGAGAAACGTGTACTGAGTGCCCACAGAATTTTACTTAGGGACAGACACAGAAAATGTTACGGAGGTGACACAGAATAGTTACTGAGGGACCATACAGAAATTGTTACTGAGGACACAGAATTGTTACGACAGGGACAGACACAGGAATTGTTACTAACTGATGGACAGACACAGTGAATTGATACGCTGAGGGACAGATCAGAAATTGTTACTAGGGTGGACAACAGAGTTGTTACTAAGGAACACGAATGTTACTGAGGGACACAGAATTTGTTTACTGAGGGACAGATCACAGAATTGTTACTAACAGTGACAGAACACAGAATTGTTTACTGAGGTACAGACACAGAATTGTTACTGAGGGACAGACACAGTAATTGTTACTGCAGGACAGACACAAATTGTTACACTGAGACAGACACAGAATTGTTACTCAGGTGACAGACAAAGAATAGTTACATCAGAGACAGACACAGAATTGTTACTGAGGGAGGGGGGGAAAACAACAGAATTGTTACTACCTGAGGCGACAGACACAGAATTGTTACTAAGGGACAGACACAGAATTGTTACGTGAGGGACACAGATTGGTACTGGGGAGACAGAATTGTTGACTGTGGGACAGAGCAGAATTTTTACGTGAGGGACACAGAATTGTTACGGAGGGACACAGAATTGTTACTGAGGACACATAATTGTAACTGAGGGTACACAGGAAGTTAGTTTACTGAGGGACACCAATAAAAACAAAGTTAATGAAGTGCGCGCGCAGAGTCAATAGTTACTCTACAGACAGACACAGAATTGTTTACTAGAGGGACCACAGAATTGTTAACTCAGGGACAGACCCAGAATTGTTACTCAGGGACAGACACAGAATGTTACTCAGGGACAGACACAGAATTTGTTACTCAGAGGGACACAGAAGTCGTTTAATTGAAAGAGTATAGTCAGACAACATGCAAGGAGTGGCGCGCGGAGGAGGCAATGTTTTAGGAGCGAGCAGACTGCAGCAGAGGAAGGGTCGAGCAGCACTAGTCGCAGCCAGAGGCCAGTGCGCCCGGTGTCTCACACGGTCCGGTCTCCACCTGACAACCCTGCCTCATCGATTGGTTGCTCGGATCCTGTCTGCCCACCTCTTCTTAACACCCCAAGGTCACCTCTGACACCTACAAGCCTACGGTCGGTGGGTACGTCAGAACACAACCGTAGTTGCATGCCCGGGAGCAAGCCCACTAAATCACGTGTCCTCTACCTGCCCCTGTCCGTTGGTGTTCCTCACCAACGAAGTATCGCATGCTGTGGGCTTCAGCCCCACTGTACAGGAGGAAGAGCAGACAGAGGGCGGATCAGGAACGGGAGAGACATCCGCCTCTTCAGTCGCTGCAGGCAAAGAAGTAGTGGCGAGGAGAGTGGCTCGGATAGCCCGTCCTAAAGAGACAAGTCTGTCCCTCACTGAACCACACGCAGCATCGCCAAGAAAAACGAGAGGGCTAGTAGTGAGGCGGCGCACCCTAAAGTGATGATGGAATAGGCCCTGATCAGCACTTGGCAGCCTCGGGTTCGTCATCAGGCTATATTGCTTTCCGCATCATCAGGAAGAAGAGGGTGGCAGCGTGGCAGCGAGCAAAACAGGTCGGTGGGGTGGCCCAGGAGGCAGCAGCGTCGCAGCAGTGGCAGTGGAGGCAATACGCGTGCTGCAGTATCTTAGCACCAGCCCACTGATGAGCCTACCACCAGAACGGCAATCAGTAGTGGTGCCGAGGTGCAAAGATGGTAGAA